TAAGAAGACTGCTTCTAAATCCAAGAAAGCAGCTAAGCCTGCTGAACATCCAATTGGAAACTGAACAAAAGAATTCATAATGGCATAATAAATTCAGAAAAATGAATAACAGAATTCGAAAGGGAATAATAGGATTCGAAAAGTGAATAACAGCATAGGAGAATGGCATAACAAAATTTGAAAGGTAATATTGGCGGAAATCACCCCTCATAGTTTAATGCCTATAAAATCCTAGAATGTGTAACAATCAGCCAAAAAGATCTCCGCTACAGCGTACGTGCTCCAGAAAACCCATCTACTTATCACATGATTCGAAATTCGATAGTTAAATCACTCAGCAACATGAAAATAAAAGTAATGATTTCTTAAGCTGTAAAACATCACGCAGTCAAAACATTTCTTACAGTGTTTTTTAGTCAAGTGTAGCCGGGTTGCTGAAAACAGGTAAACGGTTCAGGCAGAAATAATCTTCCATCAGGGGCACCCAACGACCCAATGTTTCCAAATACGCCAGAAGTGTCTCAGATGGTTTTCTCTGTGCTTTAGAAGCCTGTTTGGTTAATTTGGAGTTGCCCTAAAAACTATTTATCTGTTCGCAGGGGCACCCAACGGCAGTTTTCGGGAAAACATCTGTTCGGAAGACGATTTGAGATCTAGAATTTTCGGAACATTTGTTGTAAAATTTCTTGCTTGCCTGCCTCTCCTAGGATTTTCGAACATCTACAAAATGGTATAATTACCCATTTTTAACGGATTTTGACCCTAAAAAAGGTCACCTAGAATTTTCGGGAGCCTTTTTGTGGCTGAAATTTTCGAGAAGGTGAGTTTTTATCCCTATAATTTTCGGATCACTAGACTTTCAGCTAGAAAATCCGAACAGATGAAAAGTTTTTAGGGGATAAAAATATGCCTATATCTATCGTTTAAATACTAAAATACGTTCAACAATGCTATGTTAAGTGGTTTTGAACTATATCCTCGTTGGGTGCCCCTGTGTTCGGATGTCTTAGGCGAACTTGGTCGTCACGAAAGTTTTAGGTCAGTGGCTTAATTATCGTCTCATCTGAAAAGGTTAGCTACCCTTATGGGTTCGGTCGAAAGTACCAGGACATGAAGTAGCCTTGGTTTCATTAGAAAATTTTAGGGAACGTTTTGTCTTTACATCGAAAGTTTTAGGAGACCTAACAACAGCAATATCTTGGTATTAAAATGTGACTAACACGACCTCCGAAAATCTTAGTTAAGCTATTAGAAAATGTCCGAATATTTTAGACAAATGAAACGGTTATCCGCAAAGTTTTAGCTTTTCATGCACAAGCTTAAGAAATTTCTAGGCAATATTTGCTCCTTCGAACAGTTATTTTTCAGAAAAAAGTCGCGGGGTGTTCCTGTTCCATGAGATTGCGCTGCTTTTCGTGGTGACATTTTTAGTTCCGTCGTGGAGTTTGTTGTAAGCGAATCATAAGGAGCTATAAGGTGCAGGGGAAAACCGAGTTTTACTTTAATTATATTGTATCTATTGCTTTCTATTCTAAATACTTAGTTCTTTTTCAGATTGAATTTGACGCTTCTTGTCCTCAATTTGCACAAAGAATAAGCGTTCCCTTGAAGTCGCTTGGAAAAATAAATACTGGTAGGTCTATTTTCTCTCTACCCAGAAGCATCACGCAATATCCCAGTGATGGCAGATTCCATCGTGAAATAAGGTCGTTTTCTCGTCGGCTTTTTTCTCATTTGCGTTCCAGTAAAAGTAAGAAAATTGCATTATTTTGTTATTTGACATGATTTCTCCGATTTGCAATGGCTTAAGAGCGAAGTTTCCACATAGAAACATTTATTTTCATTGTTTCACTTTGCATCACAAAGTGTTCAGTGACCCACAACAAGGTCATGTTTGGATTATATGTTGAAGTCTTCCAAATGTGGACCTCACTCCGGCAAAATGAAGTCCTGAATATTGTACAGGCTAAGAAGTACCCAGAAATACCCCCATTTTGAAGACTTTTTTATCGAGCAAAGATGGCTGAAATTTCGTACCTTTTATCACATTTGAACGCCATGTGTGATAATATATGTGCAAAGCCTACTGAAGGCTACAATCTGTTGGGCGCTTTCGAGAGCGCTTTATGCCGAAGCAATCACTTTGTGTTTTTTCAAAGTGGTTATTTTCAAATAAAGGAATTTGACTATAATTATTTTAATCAGAACAAGGAGCGGTGAATAATGCCGTGTGTTTCAGTGTGATCAGGGGCACCCAACGAGAATATAGTTCAAAACCACTTAAACATAGCATTGTTAAACGTATTTTAGTATTTAAACGGTAGATATAGGCATATTTTATCCCCTAAAAAGTTTTCATCTGTTCTGATTTCCTAGCTGAAAGTCTAGTGATCGAAAAATTATAGGGATCAAAACTTACCTTTTCGAAAATTTCAGCCAAAAAACAGGCTCCCAAAAATTCTAGGTGACCTTTTTAGGGTAAAAAATCCGTTAAAAATGGGCAATTATACCATTTTTTAGAAGTTACAAAATCCTAGGAGAGGCAGGCAAGCAAGAAATTTTACAACAAATGTTCTGAAAATTCTAGATCTCAAATCGTCTTCCGAACAGATATTTTCCGAAAATTCACGTTGGGTGCCCCTGTGTGATAGGAACCCTAACAAAAGTGCCACGCAGCATGCAAGCGGTACAAACGTAAACAAGCCTGCTCAGAATTTGAAGAAGAAATATCAGAAACTTTATTGATTCAAAAGAACAGATCAGTATTCTGGCCAGGAAATTTCGCTGAAGATTGCTTGAGTCAAGCCAAGTAAACAAGCCAAGCGACGTGAGTGTTAGTCTGCTACACAGCCGTTTTTAGTGTCGTCACGCAACGTGGGAAGGAGCATTGCGTGACGACACTAAAAACGGCTGTGTAGCAGACTACGTGAGTGTTTGCCACGCGAAAGACTCGTACAAGATAAAAAGTATGCCAGAAATAAAGCTCTGCTAGCAGGGAACTTGATCCCACTTTTACGAAATTCCGAACGGTGCGAGGACGAAGAAATAGGCCTTTTGCATTAGATCTCATGTGATCACGTGATCATCTTTCAGTAAACACGAAAACAGTTCGCTTTTGAAAAATTTTGTTTGCACGAGCTGAAAGAGCATATTAAAATTAGGTAACCTATAAATTTTCAGCCCTACATCTCAAAAGTAGCGATTGCAACGGCCGCCGAAAATTAGAAGGATTGGTATCAGAAAAACAACTCTTGCCACCCAGTCACGCTTGCATGGTTTTCTATACAAATCCTTGTAAATTCTGAACTTTTTAGACTGTCGTTAAATCTTTCCCTTACGCATTTAAGGGCTCAAATTGCCTGTTATGAATTAAAAGGAGATTTGAGCTTCGTAATGCTTAAGGAGCTATTACATGGACCGGGCCAGCCCAAAGCCACCATTTGTTATAGAGATTGGAAGCAGTGTGATTGAGCAGTGTGTTAACCGCTGTTCTGTTTCTCGCTTGGTTCATTTGCCGGGGTGATTACTTGGAAAATTTCCAGCAATACTTGCATCCCAGCTAACTGGGCTGGCTCGGTTGTCATGTAATCGCAAAGTTGATTTTTGTTGCGTCTATGACTAAGGTGATGCGATCTCTGCAAAGCAAGCTTGCCCGGCTCATGTAATCAGGCCCTTAGTTTTATAGCCAGATTTTACCCCCTCCCCCTTGACGTCACCGATTTTTCAAAGCCCCCCGAACCCACACACCCAAAATGTCAGCCTCCCTCCAAACAACTTTATACCCCCTTCTCCATATTAATAAATGGTCAATGAGTGTCTTTACATCTGGTATAGACAGGGCTAAACTTTTTAGACCATTAACGCAATGAGCAGTTTCATTAAAGTGTTGATTTGTACGAGAAAGACTGAGTGGTCGCTTACGAGAGCATAAAATCAAAAGAAAAGTCCAGTTGGGTAATCCTAAAAGTGGTCACGGTCAATACGGGAGCGGTTGCTTACGAGGAGCTTTTCATTACAAATTTTACGTCACAGTTCAAACGGGGTTTCACAAACGTGGTCGTAACTAGAGCTGGTCGCTTACGAGAGTGATCGCAAGGAGAGCTTCGACTGTGCAACTGTACTCATAAAAGACTTCACATACGCGAAGTACAACGACTCCCAAATATACGCTCCCTCAGCGTCTTCTTCATTTTATGTTGACCCAAGTTTTCAAGAGTAGGAAGCGTTGTTCTAATTGCAACCTAAGGCTTAATCATTAAGGCAAACATATTATCCACGCAAACAAAAAAATACAGAGCTACTAAGAAATAAGTTTTTTAGAGAGAGAGAGTGACCTAAGTAGAGCTAAAGGCTAAACCTTGAAGATAAGAGAAATAAAAGAGGAGAATCGAAGAACGTAGAATGTAGAAGTTTGACTGTAAAGCAGAAATTTACGACTAAGTAAAATAAACCATGTAAGTTTAACTGGTTGATTGTGGAGGAGTTCTTTTGGTCTCGCCGTCCTCATCAGTAAACGACACGAAGTTCGTTTATCAGTGGTATTAAAAAGTGAACGGGAAACTACCATTTACTAGGCATTTTAATTCAGTAGCCGGAGACTTTCAAAGTATCTGGAAGAGACTTGGGTTTATAAAGGGGCACCTTTTTGGTGAAAAGAGATATGAGGAAATCTTACAGTTTGAACTTCTTGGGCGAATAATCCCCGTACAACTAGTATTTGAGTATTCCTTGGGGGCGTTGGCTACAACACAAGAATAGGCTCTTCCCTGCCCAACTTTGTTCCCCCAGTTCTCTCCTACCCGTGCTCATCTTCCTACTTGCTAAAACTGTCATCAACGTTGGCCTTGAGTCAGTTTTCAAAGTACCTGCTTGATTTCTTGACCACCTGTTTTCCTTTCTCCTTTCCACAGAGCTTAGAAATGAGGTACAATTTGTTGCCGCTGATCCTTTTGGCTTTGCCCCTGCTCATGTCTGCAGCTGTAAAATCTCGGCAAAAGAGAAGCTTTGCTTTTGGAAATGACGAAAGTCCCAAGCCTTGCCGTATCCAATCAGAAGGTGATCAGCTTCGTTGTATTGTGCCGCAGGGATACCAAGTTCGAAGCGGTGACTGCCCTGGAAACGACATATGGTCCCTCTATAGAGATCGTACTACTCTGAAAGAATGCGCACGGCTTTGTTCCTCTTCCACCCAATGCCAGGCTTTCATGTTCTACAACAATCACCGTTGTTACCCGAAGACAAAAACGTGTGGTGTAACTTCCAAGAGCAACCCTCTCAACGTGTTTTACGACAAAGTTCCTTCTGGCTACACCATGCGTCCAGGCGACTGCCCCGGCAATGACATCTGGAGTCTCTATAGAAGAAGCGCGACTCGGCAAGCCTGCGCTCAGAATTGTGATTCCAGCTCCACTTGCAACGCATTTATGCATTATGACAACCACGAGTGTTACCCGAAGACTAAAGGGTGTGGCGTAACAAGTCTTAGCAACAAGCTGAACATCTTCTACGACAAGGTACCTGATGGTTATACTCTGAGGCCTGGTGATTGTTCTGGAAATGACATCTGGGAAATTCATGGATTTGTTTCCTTGCCAGAATGCGCCAAGCGATGCAACAACAATCCCAGTTGCATCTCATTCATGTATTTTGATGGGCAAGAATGCTACCCAAAAACCAGGACCTGCGCGCAGCCCAGCACCGAAAACCCAAAGAACGTATTCTATGACAAGGTCCCAAAAGGCTACGCAATGAGACCTGGTGATTGCAGTGGAAACGACATCTGGTCCATCCATGGCTTTGTCTCTCTGGCAGAGTGTGCTCAACGCTGCAATAATAACCCAGCCTGTATTTCGTTTATGTTCTATGATGGCCGTGAATGCTATCCGAAGACGAAGACCTGCGCGACCACCAGTAAGGGGAATCCAAAAAATTTCTTCTACGACAAGATAGAAATAATCTGAGACTGAAGGCAAAATCGTTTCCAAATCGAGTTTAATTTTAAAAAGTAGCGGTAAAACTAGTACTGTAACACAAGAAATCGGCCTTCATGTAACTCAAGGTAAAACCACTAAGTAGGGATTAGCCGAGCATTTTGTTATATTAATGCTTACTGTTAATTTGTCATTAAAAATATAAATCAATGATAAAAAATTCTCCATCCTGCGTTAGAGGTCCCTGATAAGGTCAGGGGGGTTTGGATTTTGTAGAGCAAGGGATATTGATACTGTGTCAGAAATATTGGTTCTAGTTCGGAAGACTTCCAAGTGAAAGTTCCCCAAGGTACTCACTAAGGCCCTATAATGTTTGCTGGTTCGGTCTGACTACATTCAGGAAATCGCATCCAGTAACCCTCGCAAATGTAAGATCATCCCCGTTGGCTTAATTCTCTTCAATAGTTCCCATTGCTACCGGCAGAATCGTCACTGAGCGTCTTAAGTCGGTTGACAAAACCAATCCTTTGTGTTTTAATTTCTCATTGACGTAGACTGTACACAGCCCCCTATTTTCCCGTAATTATTAAGAAAGATTGTCCCCCGTTCGGCCTTCTTGGTTTCAAATGTACCGAGTCTATCCTAGGGATGAGTAAGAAATCTACTTGGTAGGCGGTAGTCTGCTACACAGCCGTCTTTAGTGTCGTCACGCAACGGGAGGAGCATTGCGTGACGACACTTAAAACGGCTGTGTAGCAGACTAGCGGGCGGAGGACAGTCTGGGAAAAGGCAAGGAAAAGAGGGGAATGTAAACAGTTAGCCATCGACGTAGCACCGGAGACTTCTGCAACAAACCCTCCATTCATTAATACATTTTTTAATTAAATAGTTTAATTTATTCGTAGTGGAAGTCCACCTCAATAGAGCCCCTCTCTCCCGACCCGAGAAAAGTTTTTAAGTAGGAAAAATGGCACAATTTTCTGTATTTACTCGCCAAGTAACTTTTCTTGCGCTATGTTCATTCAAATATGTCGTAGCCCGCGTAGGAAGCGTTTCCGTCTGGTTTCGGCCGAGCAAAGGCAGACCGAGGAACGGGACTTTCGGTCTTGGCCGCGCAAAAAATGGAGCGAGAGCGCAAAAATGAAAGAGGGGGGAGGGGAAGAAAGAAAACCGCCGACAAACCCCCTCCCCGCTCTTTTACTCGCCCCATTTTTCGCGCGGTCTTTGACTCTCGTTCCTCGTTCCTTGCTCCGAAACTGCACGGAAACGCTTGCTACGCAGGCTTATTATGCCGGAAAACCGGCTACGAATGGCCTTGAACCAGATAAAAACGGAAGGACTCTGTTCTTGCTTGGCCACATGATAAAGGCAGCCATTTGTTGTGTTGAAAGTCAATTAAAATAAGCTTCAGCATAAGGACATTTCCAGTATATGTTTTCCCTACAGTATCACCCTTCATCGGCCATTTTTACGAGTTCCGTGGCTCAAAGCATGAAATTTTTATAGGGTTAATTCACTGGAATTTTTGGTCGAATCTAGTGAAATGAGAGTAATCATATTAGTAAAACGTCTGGCAAATTGCTTCAGTTTTGTTTTTGCACCTAACACTACGTTTATATTACAGCTTATGACATTTAGTTAGATAGATACAACGTAGGGACACTCAGGTACAAGTTGCCCACTCGTTTAAAATTCACTCTTAGTCGACCCTCGAGTTTATTTATAGGAAACTCCAAATATTGAACACTTACTATTGTTAAAACTGATGGCCCTTCTCGACTTATAAAGAAAGTGGATCAAAAATTATGCTTCAACCAATAAGTTTTTTTAAACGCAATGACATTCCTTCACAATTATTCCGTTTTTTATATTTGAATATATTCATGCCTCCTCGTAGTTATGGAATTTTAAGTTCCCTCCATGTAAACAGCCCTTAAATCTAAACATTTAAAACAATCTTCGAGGACGTTCGATGACGTCTCATCAACGAAATTACTTGTTATCAGCTATCGTGTTTATACAACTTGATTCCGAGTCACTGATTCACTCTATCCAAATATACTTTCAGCAGCTTGCTTGATGACTTGAGCTCCACGTTTGATTTCTTCGTTCGTGAGTTGAACATTAAGAGTTGCTCTGATACTGAACAAAAAAAAAAAAAAGAATACTAACTCTCACATTATCCACTAGGAGTACATCTGGAAAACTTTTTGATTATCTTACCGATCCAAAATAAAACTAAGTTGTATTTTTTGTCCATTAAATACAATTTTTTAACGGCGTTTCAAGAAAACTCGCATAATGTTACAAAAAGTACAAAAAATTACAACTTTATTTCACATTCTTGTAAATAAGAGGTACTTTAGCTAATTAGAGCAAGTAAACTAAGGGGAAAAATACAAAAAAACGCAATCAACAACAAAAACAACGGCTCATTGTACGTAGAAATTTATATCATATCAACCTTTACCTTGGAGGAGGCAGGAATTTCTCGTCGTTTTTGAGATATCTTGCAATTGTTAGCGCTATTCCATTCTGTAGAGCCTTTACATTAAACGAGAAAAAAATGTTACTAACATGAAGAAATAGAACATAGCGCGGTAAAGTTTGAAGCAGCTCGAATTCACCTTTTAAGTGACGTTTTCGTAGCCGTGGCCGTTGTCTCAGAGCGAACATTTTCTATTAACAAACAAGTGGGACAAACAACACAAGCAACTTACTAAGGCAACAACTTCTTTCAGTTTTTCTTCGTCTTCTTCAAACGTTTCATGAGGCTCCAGAAGCCTCAAGTGTAAAATAGGTGACTCCTTTGATCCTTCACACAAAAGGCCTTTGAGTCTAAAACCAAACAAAAATTGAATTGATTTTTGTTTCACACCGTACGAAAACAAACTACAAAAATAAGAGACCATAATGCACCTTGAGGTACTTGTCTGAGAAAACAGCCGACATTTGGCGATGCTACCACTGGTCTCCCCGCGAAAAGGCGTCTGAGAAACACGCGCAGAAATTCCATACTGATGACGCGTCACTACCGGATCTGGGTAGTGCTTCTGATTGGATGCAGCATATTTCCAACCAATCAGAAGCACTACCTAGATCTGGTAGTGACATGTCATCAGTATGGAAAGTCTGCGCTCGTTCCTGAGACGTCATTTCGCGGGAAAACCAGTGTTGACGTCGCGAAATGTCGGCTCTTTTCTCAAGAGATAGAAGGAAATACTTAATACAATGAATGATCAAAAAATCAAAACCTGAGCATGAGCTGTGCTGAAGACTCAAGAACTGCTGACCTATTATGACGTTCGCGCTTTGTCAACCGGATAAATTGCATTAAAATGCAAAACCTCTTGATATGACTATTCTCATCTACGGTATGATAACATTTGTGCTCAACTGACATACTAGTTACTACTAACAAAATATTAAGTTCCAATAAATTGTGAAAAACTTCAACATGCTTTTACAAATCTGTGATGCAAGTTAAAAAAACATACCCTTCAAGCTCTGCACGAAATAGTTTGGCTTTCTCTTGAAGCTCCTCAAACATTTCTGAAACATTAACAAACATTAACATTTGAACAAGGCCTTGCTCATGCCAGAGAGTTATGCAATGGCTCTAATCACAGGTTCCCCGACCTCACGAGTGAAAATCGCTGTTGGGTAACAGAACTATTGTAAGAGTTTATATGGGGATTTTAGCGATCGTTATTTAGGGCTCAAAAATAGCAAAATATTGCCTCCCTGTTTTATGTATGGTGTGTTGTCAGCATTTTCGGCCTCTTCAGGGCAATTAATAACAATAATAATTAATAATTTGATATTAATATTTAATATTTCGATTTAATAAAATTTCTGTTACACATCAACGATTTTCACTCATGAGCTTGGGGTACATTTGCTCTAATCATCACTTTCTACAAGATGACAGTCATTTTGTTACAAATAGTTATGGTGAGTCCTGGGACTCATCTTGTAACAAGTCAGTTAATCTGGAGTAAGATGCTAAAACTCTTTATTACAGTTTCAAAATCCAGGATTTTTTTTACAGGGGTTACTGAAATTCAACACCAATAAACCACTTTTTTTTTGCAGAATACCAGTTTATTAGAAAACCGCAGGTCACCTCAGGGCCCCTGCACCCTCCCCCTAGATCCGCCCCTGAGTTTACTGAAATTAAAATATGGTCCTTCTAAATATTTAGAGCACAAAAATGACTTAAGTAAACATGCATCTTTAAACAACAGCCACGGAAATCATTCTTTTCTACCATACAAAAAGTCATCAAATCGATCGATCGTTTGACTTCTTTGTATCCTTCGAGGCGCATGCCATGTTTTGCGTCTTTGGGGATTTTTAAGCGCCAGGGATGCAGAGGTAACAGAATCACTGCAGATGTAAAAAAAAAATTCTTACCTGGCTTTTGTTCAATAATATTCAATGCTTCAATTGCTGCAGATGCCAGCATTGGAGGTAATGACGCGGAGAAACAATATCCTGCCCCTGAGAGTCTCTGTAAAAGGGAGAATTTGACAACAGATCAAGAGTTACTTTGGGTCTTTTATCATCCACCCCTCAATTACCTATTCATACAGTGTAGATCTACAATAATGCACTGCGGAATATTGAAAATTTTCACCAAGACAATAATGCGCCTTATTTACCCCCCAACATTTTACATAAACATTGTTTCCAATTTCTCCTGGGTATTACATTCGGAATATTGAACATTTTCACCAAGAAAATAATGCGCCTTGTTTACCCCCCAAAATTTTACATAAACATTGTTTCCAGTTTCTCCTGGGTATTACATTTGTCCTGGGAGAAATCGAAGCAAATTTTGGGGGTAAACAAGGTGCATTATGGTCTGTGTTAGATAGGGTACAACAAATGAATAGTACTGTAATACCATGAAGGATCTACTCTTACAGTCTGCCAAAAGGATGAAAAACAGCATACAGCAGAGCTAGATGATATTGCAATACCACACATACAAAAATTACCAAAACAACTTTTGAAAAAGAAGCTCAATACTGCAACACCATAAACAACATTGTCTGAAACTGGAAACCGTGCAACTGCATGAAAAATCTCTAGCACCCTGGGTACACTGGGAGTGAAAGGGCTGAAATAGTTGCAGCAATGTAGCGACTACAGGAATATAAGCAAGGATTTTTGTGAATACACCATACCTGATGGTCAACAACAAATGATGTTCCACAGCAGAATCCTCCAATAGTTGCTAAAGAGTTCTCCATTGAAACAGATATCAAGTCAACATCTTTTATCTGGTATAGGATAAAAATGTGTGTTATCAATGCACAAGCAAGCTTTTTTTGAAGGTAAAGCCAAGTCACCAATGATACCAGAAAATAATATTACTGTCGCAACACTCCTTTATCCCCACTGCTTTGCTCACTAGCCCAGTCAAAATGTTTAACAGTGGTAGGCAGGACAACCATAGCAACTAGCGGCAATACCTGTGCGGCTATTATTTAATGTTATTAGACCCAAGTGTCAACTAGGCAGCAAATAATAAATTATGTTACTAAAAGTGGGAAAATTGCCGGCTTCCAGCTCATTTTGACTGGGTTGGCTCACAACTTCAATGTGAACTAAACTCCAAAAAAGAGTCTTTTAACTATTCTTTGTTTAATTCGACATAAAACACATCAGTCTTAGTCTTCAGCAACTTCAACTCACTGGGATATCAAAGTGTTCTGTTAATCCTCTTCCAGTTTGACCAAGAACTCCAAACGATGCACTTTCGTCAATAATAATTCACACTTTGTATTTGTATTTTAGCTCAATCTAGAGAAGTGAACATAACAGTTAAATTCATTGTAAGGTTTAAATGGAACTGTTTCACAGGTGAAAACCTTCCTAAAATAACAAATCAGCTTGTTCTTAAAAACTACTAAACCCATTTTATTTCACTTTTTGCTTCTTTACTTGTTTCCCTATTACACTGGCTTTTCATTCCCTCTTTTATTTTCCTTCTCTTTGTTGGTCCTTTTCCCTGAGCTTCAAGAGATTCAACCTAAGCCGCATTTTAAGCTACCTTAGCAAATTTATGGAAATTAATGAGAACTTAATAATTCAAATTGTCATTTAATACTAAACTACCAAGTATTATAGGAAATAACTACCTCATGAAATTAACACGAGAAATTTGCATTAATTTAAGTCATGTTAATTTATGCAAATGTTAATTTCAGCACCATTAATTAAATGGAGTGTTAATTTCCGCAACCTTAATTTCCAATATTTTGACCTCAAATTCTCGATACACTTCTAACATACTTGTCACTAGCCTGCGTGCAGACGATAACTAAACTCTGATTAGTACCATATGGAGTTAACTAGAGCTTAATTTCGTCTGTGCGCAGGCTATCTTGACACCTAATAGAGCAAAAAGCGTTCAGGGTGGAGATCTGTTAGTAGCAGAGAAACTATTACTGTGAAGACCCATAAAACCATTAACTTACAAGTTTAGGAAGTGGTGCAATATCACCATAATTGACATAAATTCCCTCTACGACTAAGAATCTTCTTGTCACACATGCTTTCTTGGGATTCTATAACAACAAGAACAGCAAAAAAAAGAGCCATAAAAGTTAGCTTGACGAAGAAGCTTGACAAAGACTAAAGAGCAAAACAACAACAGTTTTCATTTTAAGTTGTGTATAATTTCAAACCTTGTCATCTTTTTCTTTCTGTTCGAACAAAAGCCTTTCCAGATCATCCATGTCATTATGATCAAACCACATTATACGGCTCCGCGAAGCTACAAGCCCTTTTTGAATTGCAAAAGAAACTCCTTTATCACTATGGGAAAAAGAGAACAATGAACGTTGAAATTTTACAGACAAAATATCTTATAACTCTATAATATACGAGGCCCTGCCAATAGGGGGGGGTCCCATGTCACCCATCTGAATTTTAAAACATCTTGTGTCAGTGTGTTTATAAATGTTTGTCGCTTATTGTTGGCTTTGCCGACACTGTTGCAATTTGGCGGAGGGAGGTTGTCTTTTGTCACGATTTCATTTTACGTGCTATCAATACTTTTTGGGCCATGTCGCTTGTCGGAATTTACCCTGGCAGGGTCTCCTATATCATTCAGTAGTGGTTTAACAACCTGGTGGCAGAAATTTGCCTTTTTTATACCCAAAAACATAAGAAGCTATTTAGCCAAGCAAGGTCAAGCAGATTCTTATATGTAGGTTACAGTAAAATTATGATACAAATTTTAAGCAAGGAGTATGAATTTGAGATTACATATACATTCTGTAATCAGTTTAGTTAACCTTATCACAATACAACTGTGAATAAGCACTGTATATTTAAGGACCAAACTCAAGTTTGTTATTTTACTTTTCTGGTAGCCAACAACAGTACTATACCTCCTTCACAGAAATTAAGAACCTACTAACATACACCGCAACTAACTTCCCCACATGGGTTTTTACTGTATTCTTCTATATCTCTTACCAGAAAATAACATCCCCTCTTTTGGAATAAGCAGGAATTACGCTGGCTATTGTGGAAAATCCATAGGAATAAAGAATTGCCTCTTCTGTTCTCATGAACTTGGCCAATCTTTCTTCTAACTCCAAATGTACATCTAAAAAAAGAGATAAACAAGGACCACACTTCAAAGAAAACAAATTGCTACACAGTCCCTCTACAATGAATACAAGGCTGTCCTCTAAGGAAAATTGAGGGGAGCCCAGTGCTCTAAACCTGTACAATCTAAGGTGCCCAGCATGTGATTTGTGCGCAAAAACTGAGATTTTCTAGTCACGTGAGAGGAAAAGTTGGGTGCCAGGGGCCACCACATTTTGCTAGAGCTCAGCCTTGGAATAAGTTAGTATTGTTGAGTGCTTTCTTTTAACCAAAAGTAAATGAATTATTGGCCAGCATTTTAATTGATCATTTTTAAAATTTACTTGTAAAAGTTACATTTCTAATGTTTTTGAGTGTTGTAGTATACAGTACCGGCAACCAGCAAAAACATGTTACAAATAAAATTATCAAATAAAATTCTAGCCAACTCATTTCCTTTTGGTTAAAAAAAGCACCCTAGGTTTTATTGACTGCAAGGCAATATTTTCTTCCAAGTCAAATAAATATAAGGATTATTTATCTTTAAACCAAAGATCATGCAATATCTTCATCGAATAGACTTACCTATTGTACCATAGAATCCCCGGGGTCCACATGAACCTACACCATAACGATGGAGGCTTTTGATGGCTGTGTCCTTAAAAAATGAAGTAAGGATGGGTAAAAATAAAATGATCGTGAGGAACTTTAACTAGGGTCTCCACATTGCAAGTGTGATACATGTGCTTGATTACTTAGCTCGGCCATACTACCTCACGCCCCAAAATAGGGAGTTTTAGCATCAACCACGGCGACGGCAGTGAAAACGTCACTATTAAAATGAATTAACTTTTTTTAAAACTTTGTCGCGTTTATTCCAATTTGCTGAAAATGTCTATGCTAGGCTGATTTCCCTGGAGTTGATTTCTTGGGGACAGCACTCATGTTTAAAAGAGGAAGAAAATTTCGTCGTTGCTTGTTTATGTCCTCCATAAAACGTGAAACTAGGCATTTTCATGTCGTAGTGGTGCAGTAACAGCAAAGAAATGTACAAAAAAGAGTGATGCACGTGCAAATTTGTTGTTTTGCTTGATAAACCTATTGTTGTTTTGACGTTCTTGTTGCCGTTGCCGTCGTCATTGCTAAAACTCCCTAATAACCCTTTAAGTCCTAACAGACCGACATCAATGTTCTCCTAACAATATGAAGGGATCATCAAGAGAATTTGGTAATAAGGATTAATGAAATGATCACCAAAGGGAAAATGTTTTGATCTTTTATTGAATTCTCTCTACTTATTCTTGAAGGAAATGTGAAGAGATCAGTTTGTATGTGGATATTAATTTGGGGCCTGATGACAAACAGAAAACTTTCTCTCTTTTTAGTATTTCATGATTACTAACAGTAGTAAAACCTTTCAGAATACCTCTATTTTTTCATTTCCTACAAAACCAAGAAAGTTGAATGTGGCAAAATTGAGACATTCTTTATCATCTATTTTTAGTGAGTGTCCAGGTTTCCTGAAGATTAAAAAAAGGACATCAGTCTTTATGTTTAATTGGTTTTATGGATCTATCATTGCTGGAATCAATAATGAGAGTTACGTTCTCTCAAATGTCCATGATTTATTCTTGCCGGGGATTTAGCTGCTGTCTATATAACTAGGGTGTCTGCAATAGCAAGGTGTCTGCAAATGGAGAGCTGACTGTAATGAGTTTCAATAACTTCAAAGTTATTGCTTAGTACAGGGTAACATCTCTTACGGTCAAAATTATATCCTGGTTAAATTTTTTAACCTAGGTTGACTCACGAATTAGGGCTAGAAGACAAAGGAATCAACCTAAGTTACAAAAATTTTAACCTGAACTTAATTTTGAACTGTAACATTTCCTTGGATGCTAGGAATTGGCCCGAGATTGAAAGAAAAACATGAGTCATAATAATATTGACAGTACAGCTTGCTCACCAGGTGGTGCTTTGATTAGAGTTAACAGCTGGAAGGTTTTAGAAAGTACATAGAGGTTGTATCAGCTACATTGCCACAGAAGACTACATGTTTTTGGGCAAAAATGTGGTCAATACAGTGGAATCAGTGGGACACCGAGTGGATATGTCATAGTCTATGTTCTATCGAGTTTCACTGTAGTAAGAAAGCTAGAAATTATTGCTCAAAAGAGTATTTAAGTTGTAAATGAACATGGCATAAGCATACCCTTGAACAACTTTTGGAGTGATAGCATCTAAGTCATAGGTTGGTGTTACAGGAACTAATGGTTCTGGTTGCCATTCTTCAATTAACTCCTCCTCTTCCTAAAACAGCACAAAGATCGGAAAACTTGATCAGATTGTCATTCAATTCTATGAGGGGTGTTACTCCTCTAGCTTTATCTCCCTAACCGTCAAACACAAGTGTTTGACTGGAGAGACATTCCTCTCAGAATATGAAATAATACATGTAAACTCCCAGATCGGTGGTGCTAATGGGGAAGGGGTGATTGGATTTTCTGAGGGCCTCTAATGGGGCTTGTTCGTTTGAATGGCTTATGTAAAATCTTTGCTTAAAGAACGAGGCATACACAGTGTGAAGCACACTTGTCCCTTCGCGTGACTTATGTCGGATCTTTGATTAAAAAATGAGGCATACACAGTGAGTAGGACGCTAGTTCCTTCACGTAACCTATGTCGGATCTTTGCTTGAAGAACGAAGCATACACAGTGTGTAGGGCGCTTGTTCCTACGCGTGGCTTATGTTGGATCTTTACTTAAGGAACGAGGCATACGCAGTGCACAGGGCACTTATTCCCTTGCGTGACTTATGTTGGATCTTTGCTTGAAGAACAAGGCATAAACAGTGTGTAGCACGCTTGATCCTTCGCTTCTTTTAGAAGCAGTTAATATTGGACCTTTTTCAACATACCTATTTAGAAAACTTTATAAAGAATCTTTTTAATACCTAGTTTTAAAAAGATTTGCGTGGTTTTCGCTGCATCACCTCCCTACCCCACAGTATTTTTTGCATGCTTCCAAGAAATTGCTTCCTGCCATCGTGATCAGCTTGCACATAGAGGAAAATCAATCGATGTATCGTTTGAAGAGTTCAAAAGAAAAGACACTTTCTTTGCACGTGAATTATTGAGGCAGAAAGGCCTAGAAAAACTCTGTGAGATAATTGAAAGCTAGTACAAACTTCCTGTATTGTACCATCAATGTGACAATTCAACGGTTCTATGGTGATGAGAAAATACTCATGTAAAGCGTGTCAGTTGTTTGTTATCATTCACTATATTAAACATCTTAAAAAATAAGGAAGGTATTGTTAAAATTCAAATTTATAGTTCTGTCATTGAAATTAACCAGATCAAAGTGATCTTTTTTGCAATAATCTAGCAGCTAGGAGCGATTGGCATAGCGTGAGTTTGATCAGGATATTCCAGATTTCCCACAAATATGGTATTTGCAGCTGAAAAATGCAATTTTGGTGTTGTCCCGGGATTGGGTATTTGTACCCTATTTTTAAGCCCAACTGTGGGTTTTTCTATGAACATCTGGCCCGACCGTGGAGCATTTGCAGCTTTTCCAAAACAAAATGACAAATGCCCGACAAATGCCCCCCCCTCCCCCCCGGGGAGGGGGGATGGACACACTTGGAATTGACTCAGCCATAATCAACACAAGGCAAAAATGTGCCTCAGTTTCACCCATAACAGTTAAAACCGTCAAAGCTTGGGTTAAGGGGTTACATATAATTTGTTAGAAAATATTGATACAGTCTGGTAATTTGCTATTGATAAAGAAATAGTACTACATTTTAAAAGCTTTTGTTTATAATGTCCCAGACAAACCTTTTCTGTGAGTTCAATTTTCTGTTCTCTGAATCTAAATGTCTTGCTGGTGATTAGCCTTATTATCCAAAGAACCAATACAGCTTCAAAGAGGACGTGATAAAAGGGGACCTAACCAAAAGAATAAAAAAACATTCAGCATATTGCATAAGGCTTACGTTACCATTGTTGTGAAAACGAAGCTGCAAGTATTATTATCAAAGCTCAAAATAATCAAAATGGCACCGTCAGCAACTAACCTTTGTATAATATTCAAGGATCTCAATTCCTTTAGTAAGGTAAATCGTAAAATACGAAAGCTGACCAAGATAGTAGGGAGATTCTGTCGAACCTTCTGGTCCACATTGCTGCTGTTCAACCCGCGCCATTTTGGATTTATTTTGGATACGCCCAGACACGAAAAAGACTGGGGACTACGCCATGGGATACCCAAGTGAAGTCCATGTGGATTATTTTTATTTCTTTATCCAATTTTTTTCGTCATAAAATAAAGGTTAATGGAAAAATAATGTTTTTTAGTTTGTAAAATGTTTTTATTACATCAAATTCGAAGCGAAAGTGAAAAACTATAAAACAAGATGAAAGAAATTACTCTTGGTTGGGTGTCCTGTACCCTTAGAGCAAGTACCCAGGCTTTCTCGTCGTATTCTTGTAAAACCAGCACAAGCACGAAGCGTGTACCTTTCCAGCATGTCTTCAAGGGTTAGAGTGAATAACGGCGATTGGGTTTGCCCGGACAAAAGGTAAATTTCATTTATTATACTTCATTTATTACCATTCTTTTGTAATCTCGTTATTTTGGTGTTATACAGGTGCGGAAACGTCAATTTTGCGCGGCGCACATCTTGTAATCGATGCGGGAGAGGTACGTGGTTTTGCAGGTCTTTGATTTCTTTCGCCACTTTGTGTTTTTCGAGTGAGTCTATTAAATTCGGGCAGTAAAGTTGGTTTATGTTACAGGAATATAATTTTTAGTTTCTAATTTATAGGGATTAATCTTTAATCAAGGGACGATTTGCCTGGGGTTTCTTCTAGTAATCTGATCTCCCAACTTTAATCTTAAATCAATACCACCTACTGCAGCACTGTATTCTAGCTTATGTACTGACAAGAGCGGCTCTTGGTATTGAACACTGAAATGAACAAAGAATAATTTACCGATGAAATATATTAACGTTAATTCGCACCTTTGCATATCGTTGATTTGAAATTAGCCATTTTTGCACTTCTTATTAAAAGCTTAATATTTTTATTAAATTATATTATTGACGTTGAAATTGCCTTGGAAAAAAATTTGATCTCTCAAATATTTCATTCATATGGTTTAAAATTCTGTCTGGAGAATTTGTTGACCAAAAAAAATTAATAAATAAAAAAGAGGCCTCTTCCAATCACAGACAAACAAACAAACAATAGACAAACAAGCACCTCAGCTGAATTCTTCAAAAATTGTTCATGATTACACCCATCTTTATGGTAGGCAAGCTGAGAAAATCAAAACATTTTTTTCATTAATACAAAATGTAGTAAAATAGTCTTATTTTTTAACAGATAAGGCAAGCAAAGATTCAGTCAAGTTCACTGGTACACAAATAGGAAAGCAAGCTGCCGCAAAGAGTAAAGGATTGTTCAGTGCTGAAGACTGGATGTGTTCAAAGTGTGTATCTTGAACTTATAATGTAGTAATGTTTGCATGCAGTTCATCCTTTGAGTCCAGCAGATCCTTATGGCTGTTATGTATAACAGTTTCAGTAGCATGAGGAGTTTCACAACTTTCCCCCCGGGGGGTACTGCCATATTTGGGCTATATAGGTATGTGCGGCTGTGAAGGGTATGGTTTTCAGGCAGTTTACTCTAGGATAGGGTATATAAATTAGAGCGTTGGTCTAGAATTGGGTATCATTTTCAGGAAATGGATCAGTTGGTTGAAGATTTTAAGGTACAAGATTTTGTTTTAGCTAGACTGTGCTAGGGACCTCAGTAGTTTCTGGAAAACAGCCACTCTAGGATAGGGGGGATTTGGGGAGTTTACTCTAGTATAGGGTAGCAAAATTCAGCTGAACTAGCTTTGATATAGGTTAAGGGTTCCAGGGTCCCAGTGGCAAATCCCCACCCAGAAATTCCTTAAGTACCCCCCGCCCTGGGAACTTTCCCTTTCCCCAGTTATTCAAAAGTTCAATAATGCCGCTATCCACTACCCAGTGCCACAGAGGAAACTAAGCCACCAGTTAAGTCTGTCTGCAGCCAGCCCTAAAATCCTTGTTCTGTCATTCTGTGTCCCCCTTCTGTGTACCAGGATTAGAGTATGCACCATTGTTGGCTTGTTAAAGATGCCTTTGTTGATTTGCCAGTCAGGTTAAAGGGAAATTCGAAAAGTACTTGCATTAATCCATTGAGTCCGTTGGGGACCCAGAAAAAGGATCTTGTGAGTGCTTTGCAGATGTGTTTAGTCACAAGTTTACTTTCCTGGATTCTTCCTCTGGAAGAAAATCTGCTTCCCCTAGACAACTAGTGGGACTTTTTTCTTTTCAAGCTCTGTAGTTGTCACCAGTACCTATGTGCGTAGAGCTGGGCAATGTGGGGCAGTTTGTTGTCCAAGGGAATAATGTGATGACCTTTTTATTTGCAGATGCGGCAATGTAAACTGGGCACGCAGGTCTGATTGTAACATGTGTGGACAGCCCAAATATTCAAAAGTGGAATCCAGAACTGGTGAGGTTTCTAAAACTCTTTTAAAGTTTCTTTTAGGAAAAAGACTTGGTAACAGAAAACACAATTAGCTTGGAAAAGGTACTACGCATAAACTTTTTGGTGGGTGTGTGCTGCCTAGACTTTGGAACCCTTCAACTATTATTGCATTTTTAAAGGTGCTGACTCTTTTCTCAGCCACCCAAAAACAGTCAAAACAGTTTGTGTTGAAGTGAAAGATTTCTGGAGTGGGTGAAATGAGTTTCTCAATATCTTCTTCATCTTTATCATATCTTCGTTCTTGGTTTGTAGGTTATGGCGGTGGCTTTAATGAGCGAGAAGGAGTTGAATATATTCAACGGCAAGATTCTGATGATGAGTTTGATGAGGTAAGCCTTGATTTGGGTTAAACCTTTTAAAGGTTTTCTTATAGGTGCTTGCAGAAATTAATGTTGTAGTCTCATGGCTAGGAATTTCCTAGAAACTGACAGTATTTTAACTTGGGGAATGGTTTTTCTAGTTCCTTTCTTTGTTGGGAGAGGTTATACAGTGTTACGCAGGTAATCTTTTAGATGATGGGTAGCTTGCAAACCAAACTGAACGCAGGGTTGTTGGAACAGGAACAAGAAGATTTATTCCAAAATGAATGAAGTTTCCACTGAGTAAAACTCCACAACAGCACTTAACTCGTTAAATGTACATGGCCTCCGACAACTTCAATTAACTTGATAAACTCACACGGCCTCCGCCAACTTGAATAAACACTGCTTTCGTCACACTTGACTAAACACGACTAACGTCGAACTCTCCTCGCTTGTGAAAACTAGTTAAAACTTAACTCAACTGGCCTACTTATATACTTTTACAATAAAGTTCTAGAACAAATTCTAAATAGTCTAATTATAGAAAGATTACAAAATGTACCGCTCTAGACACACTTATGCAAGATCCTAAAATAAACAAACTATGAACTCTCGCGAACCTTCTAGAAAGTCACGCTAGTCACGCAATACAATTTTTTGTAACATACAGTAATGTAAAAAGGGCTAAAGCCACATTTGAATGTAATACCTTAAGTCCAGCTCATTCTTATGGCCACTTTTTCTTTGGCCACCGGGCAAAAACAACCATACATTTTCTTGTAAATAAACCCTCGTTAATACGGTCACCTTGTTATTGCAGCCAATTTTTCTGGCCCATTTGTGACTGTATTAACGGGTTCCACTGTACTTGTAAGGCAGAATTAGTAGTGATAAAATGGTACCAAATTCATTTACTTTTAACACACTTCTTGGTGAAGAACTTGAAAAGTCTAGACGAAGTTTTTGAAGATCCCTAGTTGGAAAAGTATACCATTTTAAGGTTGAAATGCACAGTTACATGGTTATTTCTCTGCCTTTGAGCAATGTTTCTAACTGTTGGCATGAAAGACAACGGTTTAATAAAATGATGAATCAAATTTGTTTGTTATTTTTGTTTGTGAATTATAGTTTGGAAGAAAAAAGAAAAGGAAACAAGGAGAGTCACAGCCAGTTCCACAGCAGGTATTGTAGTAAACCTTTAAACCCTAGTATCAGCATGCATATTCTCCGTACTGTTCTCTGTACATTTCTCATGGTACTGGTGATGAGAATTTGTTGAACAAACCAGGTTTCATTTCCATTTTTCTCATGACCTTTATGTTTGACTGAGCAGTGTCGCTGTAAGAACAATATTGTTGAGCATCCTTAAGGATAAATCTTGGAACTTTCCAGTGCAATGAAGCAAGCACCAAAGTGGGGAGTGTTTCTAATTTTTTTTTGTCACCAATTTCCTCAGGGCAGTTATTATTGGGCTGCCTGTGAGGGCAACACCCAATTAAGAAATAAGAAGCAAATTCTTTTTATGTCAAAAATGACAGACATAAATCCCAGAAGGCTTTGCATGTCCCATTCCTCCTTCAATGGGGCTGATTTTATGGGGAGGAGACAGGTCATTTCAGGTCATCTGGCGAACAGATTTGGAAGTGGATTTAGATCAAACGCAAAATTATTGCATGGAGTCATTGACCCTATGTCTGTGCCAAATGATTATCTAAATACAGTATTCGATGATGTTGTTAGCCTGTGCAGGAGCTGCAGAAAAAATGCCCTCCCATGGTCCCCACAGGAAAAGCTTTAACTTGTTGCAAATATTCTCTCCCTGTGTGTAAAAAGTTTTTCCATACAAGAAAGGAATATGCAATTTGTAGGTTGCCCCATCAAATAGAAACATATTCACTCGAATTGTTAGAAGGGCTTTTAATGCAATATCCGACAGAAATAAAACTAAAACTCAATTTGCTTTGCGACTTTAGAGGAAACAGAAAAATTGCTTCCAAGATTGACCCTGTCACTCTTTATAAGCATAGAACAACAATAATTTTTTTGGAATTTCCGGTTACATCAGATTAGGCACGTTAATACTGTGATGCTATATAATATTTTGGAGGGCAGAGGGATCAGGGAAGGGGATGAGTTGTGGAAATGTCCCTGCATGCAACAAAACTCTTGCTCGTGTTTTAATTTTCAAGAGCGCTAAAACATCACAAATTTTGTTATAGTTATGATTAATTGGTAATAGAACTTTGTTTTATCCAATTTTGTCTGTAATCATACTCTTGATTAAACAATTATCACTCCTATGATTACAGACCAAATTGGACTCCACTCAGTTCTATTACCATTATAAATATTGGCTTGCAGTTTTTTAAGATCGTGCACTGATTTCATTTACAGAAAGTGACAAATGCCCCTCCTGCAGTAGAAGAGGAAGATGATGATGATGATGACGATGATGATGAAGGAGGTGACCTGTCAAAGTACAACCTTGATGATGAGGTATAATTCAACAAAAACTTTCAAACCTCTGTACTTATTTCAACAGCGTCATGATGTAATGTTCATTATTTTTCTTTCCTCACTTTCTTGCTGATTTTCACTCCAGAAACTTAACAATAAGCCATTATTTTCCGAGTTCCAAAAACTTTCGCTTTCAAAATAAGGCTCCTGCAAAACCTTGCCTGTGAAATGAGTTTTATTTTCATTAGAATAAAAAATCATTTCATTTTTAATGGTTTTGCTCTTTTTCTTGCTTTGAAACAGAGGCTTTATACAACTCGGAAATATAATACTATTCCATCGCTTTTGTTGAACTTTTGAGACTTCCCAGTAATCCCCTTATAACTGTACTTTGAGTTAATTGTGCTGTTTTTTAACATCATAGGATGAAGAAGATGACGAAGATGGTGACTTGTCAAAGTATCAACTTGATGATGACTCAGACACTGAACCCAAGGATAAGGGCCGGTAATCTTCTCCCCCTGTCTGCCCTTCACCTCTCAGGTGGGGCCAGGCTCATAAGATCAAACCCTTTCACTATATGTGTTGTTTATCTCCTAGTTGCTATTAATTTTTTCCAAATTTCTACATGTTCATTTTGGGGTGCAATTTTGTGCTTGTTGCAAATTTTATTTTCCCTTGTTTTTGGGTATGGTAATGTTGTTATTCATTGTATCAAGTGGAAAAATAAAGTTTGCACCAAGGATAATTCTCTCTAAGCTGGACACCGTTGTGAGCAGTTTGATTCAAACTGTCCAACTTAGAGATGTGTCCCTGTATAATATAGGAGATAGTTGTAGTCAAGTACAGTCTGTTTACTTATCTGTCCAGTAGCTTTTAGCTTCAAACCGGTTTCTATTTCCAATAATGCCATCTCGTAGTAGTATGATTCATCAGTCAGAGAGGTGAAGGTTTGAAGGTTTAACTTCTTTCTACTTTCTCAGTGGGGCAAAGGAGGTGGTGATTTGTAGCTGGAGGGGGCGGTGGTGATATTAATTTTTATGGAGGGACTGACCATTATTGGTGGGGGAAGGAAGTTTCCTTACTGATCACTCTTAATGGTGGGAGGCAGGGTTTGGTTCATGCACACCTGATGCAGGCGTATTAAATTAAGTCTTGTGCTGTCCATTTTGCTGAAGTTGCAGTTCATTGGTAGTCCCTAGTTCAATTCCTTTACTCTGCTATGCATGTTTGAGAGTTGGTCTTTGCACTTTTCTTGAAACACTAGAAACTTGATTTTCAAGTTATTTATTGGTTCCCTTTTTCAGCAACTCCCGGTCGAGGTCAGGTTCCCCGCCCAGCAAGAAAAAACGACGCAGCGGCAGTAGTTCATCATCATCATCTTCATCAAGATCAAGAAGCCGCTCCTCTCGCTCACGCAGCCGGTCAAGGTCTCGTTCTAAGAGTTCCAGTTCTTCTTCCAGATCTAGATCAAAGTCTAAATCGCGGTCCCGATCAAGTTCTCCCAAACCATCAGGTCCAGGGGAAAGAAGGTTTGGTTTTTGTGTTATGATGAGATGACCTTTTTTGTTTTAATTTCAGATGACAAGTTCTCGGCAGAGGCATTTATGAAGAATTCTTCTCATTAATCATCCTACAATTTTT